ATTTTGCTCGGCCTGTTTTGCTCGGCCAGCAATTAGGCCCAGTGGACCAACGGGCCCGTTTTGCTGGGCCCGTTTTGATGGGCCAGCAATTAGGCCCATTGGGCCAACGGGCCCGTTTTGCTGGGCCCGTTTCGCTGAGCCAGCAATTAGGCCCAGTGGACCAACGGGCCCGTTTTGCTGGGCCGGCAATTAGGCCCAGTGGACCAAGGGGGCCGGCAAAAGGTTGGCACACCCATGAAGTGTTGAAATACAGACTGAAGTTCGAGTCCAAATGCCATCAGATGAACAGCATATAATAACGCACCTGGACCCATTTAGTGTTGAAATACAGACTGGAGTCCGAGTCCAATGGCCACGCAAGCCTCCCAAGCCATGCCGTTATACCTTCGCCCCCCACAACAGCGCACAACACACGTTGAGGACGACTGTATATGACCGAAAAAGTAGCTTGTATACAATCACCATCAGGGTGCGTTGTGTTGGGCGGAGGACGGTCGAGTTCTGGCCCATGTGCTGAATTCTATCCATTAGCTCAACTGTATCCCTTGGCTGGATTGCATGTTAATCGGTTCGCTTTTCGAGCCAGATTCATGCTGACATGGCACCCATTTCGCAAGTAAGGCCTGGCGGTATTCTATCCATAAGTTCGCCTCTGGCTCTTGGCTGGATTGCATGCGAACCCCGTCGTCTTTCGGGCCCGGTTCATGCGGACGTGGCACCATTTCGTCAGCACGGCCTGACCGTTCCCGCCAAGGATGGTAGAGCGCACCCGCACATACTCTGCGGTGAAGTTTTTTTTTTTTTTTTTTTTTTTTGGGAGCGGGGGGGTTGGGAACATGGAATTCTGATTTGCATTCATTATCACCAAGCAGTCTGGAATATCGTTTGTAACAATTCCTGCAAAGCATTTTTTCATTTTTTTATAACGCGGCACCTTGCGAATATGTTGTGCTGTATCTAAAGCTTTGAGTGATAAGCTTTCAAAGGGTTGAAAATGCGCTTGTACATGAAAAATGTGCTTCAAGTTATCTCTGAGCACATCCACTGCGCGCCAAAAGAGACATGTAAACAAAAAAAAAAAAAGAAAATACGTTATTGAGGTGTAATAACCATAGCCATGGCCGAAGGCATGAGCACATTTACGTATCTCCTTCTTCTTTTTCTTTTCCTTTTTTTTTTTCTTTTTTTTCTCTTTTTTTTTTCCCCCCGTCGGGGCCCCAACCATCTCAGTCGCATATCTTCTAAACTTCGCAGCCAAACACAATTTCTTTTCTTTTTCACAGACGAAAAAAAAAAAGTCCGAAAAACACATATTTCACACACACACCTTTTCCTGCCAAATTGACTGATACAGGGGTCCCATAAGACTACCCCCAGCAGATGCTGACCGATTTTTCTTTAGAAAAAAAAAAAAAAACGACTACCTGGTACGCCATGGACCAGGAATGAGTTATAGGTGCAAATATGTGGGGGGGGGGGAAAAAAAAAAAAAAAAAAAAAAGTTATGGGTGCAAAAGGAGGAAAAGGGAACAACAAGGAGTGGCACGTGCCCAGATATTATTGTTCTCTATTGTTCTCTCCCTCCCTCCCTCCTTCCCTCCCTCCATCTTTCCAGACCTCCCTCCCTCAACTCCTCCCTTTTTTCCTCATTGGAAAAAAAAAAAAAAGACTACCTGGTACGCCATGGACCAAGAATGACTTAAACGTGCAATTGAAGCGTTCGGAGGTGTTTATAAAAAAAAAAAAAAAAAAAGAGTTCAGAGGGGTCTCGTATCTGACCAGGATTGACAGCCTGGTACCGAATCGGTCGGCCGAGAATCGAACAAAGAACGACAACTGGCAAAGAGAGAGCAATTCTCTTCTCCTCCCTCCCTCCCTCCCTACCTCCCTCCCTCCCTTTCAGATCTAACGCACTTGGCCCCTCTCCATTACCTCTTTCACTCCCTTTTCCCCCTTCCCTCCCCTCCTCCCAATTTCCCAGCCTCACTCCTCGGCGTCCTTTTCACCTCCCTTCCTCTCTCTGTCATTACTGCGCAACCGACAACGCACGTCCAGAAAAAAAAAAGAAAAAAGAAAAAAAAAAGGAAAAAAAAAGAAAAAAGGAAAAAAAAAGAAAAAGAAAAAAGAAAAAAGAAAAAAGAAAAAGAAAAAGAAAAAGAGAAAGGATTTTTTTTATGTCTCATGCATGGTTTTTTTTTTTTCTTTCTTCATGCGCATGCATTTTTTATCGGGTATGTCAATCGCCCACGTACTTACATGCCTCCCCTACACCCACATACTCACGCACACAACGAACACACGGAGAGAGAGAGAGAGAGAGAGAGAGAGAGAGA